TTCAACTTCCAGAATCTCCTGGAATTTGCCTCCGAAAAGGTCTTTGCCCATAAGAGAAAGGTCTTCCAACTTCCTCTTAGCGCCTTCGTGCGGTATGTAAAGTGCCTCCATCACGTTAGTCCTATGTGATTTGGCGGACAAGATAGAGATTCTCGTAAACTGATCTATAGAAAACTGGAATTTGTTAGTCTTCCTCACATGCGCAGACGATATATTCAGATAACAAAAGTAAAAAGGTGCTTTGTTTGTGAGCCAAATCTAGCCGCCTCATCAACTTTCTCCATTGTATCTTCCATCTTTGATCTAGTTTGATCGACAAATATTGACTTGGTCGGGGCTTTGCTGCTATCTCCAGTCAATTTGTCCTTGGCTGTATCTGGAATAGCAGGAACCGTAAAGAAATTATCTCGGTCCTTTTCTGGAAACTGGAAATAGGCTGCCGACCTTTTGTTGAAAGCAGTCCATTTCTTTGAATCGGCGATCTGTTGGATGCGATCGGCGCATAAACGATCCACTGGCATAGCTGGGAAAGGTGGATCTCGAGGTTCCTCCACACCACTCCGGCGTTTGAAAGAACGACGGGTGGTCTCTGGCTAACTGCTCTCTGGTTGTTGCAGTACTCGAACCATATCACCTTGAACTAGCCTCAGCTGAGTCCCAAATGGCAAAAAATTGCCATGGTCAGTGGCCTCTTCATCCCCAAAACATCCATCTTGCGAGTGAGTGGAAGGGGGGTGAGTACTGTCGACATCTATGCCAGGAACATTTTGAACAGAAGTGCCCAAATTCATAGATGGGTGTAAAGAAATGCCCACCTGTGATCTCGGGGGCGCCCAATCGCGGTCCGGAGTAGGTGGAATATCTGAGCAGACACTGATGGCAACCCCAGGATCTGGGGGCCCAGTGTGTTCCCCTTTCATCCCGTCGAAATCGGCAGGATTGTGCCCGGATCCGGCTGAATTAAGCCCGGATCCGGCTGAATTAAGCCCGGATTTGGCCGGATCCCGGCCGGATTGGAGCCGGATCCGGCCGGATCACACTCGGATCCGGCAGAAAAATGACCCGGATTTGGGTCCGGAAATGTGGCCGCCGGGAGTGACTTCTCAGTCACCGCTGGGGCCGATCTCCATTGTTGTTGTTTAGTGAGGGCTGCTAGCGAAACGTTGATGTCCTGGAAAGCTTTTAGAAAGATTTCCATGGATACACCTTTGTTTTTCTTTTGCCGATGCGTCGACTTACGGGGGGAATCCCCTGAAGAAGACGGCGCTGCCTTGTGTTTCTTTTTCTTACTTGGGTGACTTGATTCATTGAATGAAAACTCCGATAATATCCTGGGAATTCCGGAGCATTGATCAAAGAACGAAGTTGACTGCGAGTCCGTGGCCCGAATTTGGGGAGGAGGCAAGTCAGTCACCGCGAGTCCTGCCCATTCCGCACGGGTGGAAGCAGGAAGCTCGGAGCACAATGAACGCGCAGACGGGGCCGGTGAGGATTGAATCCTTTTACCGCTCCGTGACTGGTCGTCCCCGAGGGTTGCTGGAGCCAGCAGACCGGGGGGACGAGGCGAAGAAATTCCCGTGAAAACGCGGTAAATCGACGCCGGGTTGCTAGGTGACGCCGATGGTCCGGAGACCGGTGGCGTGATCGAGCGACTAGTGGTCCCTTTTTGGGTCTTGCCCTTGGGACCGCTGGTGGCCTTTGATGCGGCCTTTTTAACCGCGGGACCCTTAGGGCTGGTCGCCTGGGGGGCCCTGGTTACACGGGGAATTTTATCCCCGGTATCCTCACGGTGTTCCATACCGTAGGACGTATGTTTGGTGCCGGTCAAAACGCGTAAACACGGTATGACCGTTACCGACTACGGCTATGTCCCTGCGTGGGGACTCACTGCTATCTCGTTTTTTCGTACCATTGTACAACTGAGATAAATGCAGTTGAGAACAGCCGAGGGGAAGGGAACGACCGCTGGTCGCTGTACCCCACGGACTTTTTCTTTACACGCCAGGCGAGGCGGCCGAGGGAAGGGAATGGCCAGCGGCCGATATACCCACAAATATCTCGCCGCTATCTCGTTTGTCGTCGTACTATCGAGATAGCTTAGGACGGTCGAGGGGCAGGGAACGACCTCTGTCGATATACCCAACGAAACGTCCTCTCCTAGCTTACTAGCTCCCCGAGCTAGCTGAAACGGTCAGGGGGGAAGGGAACGACCTCTGTCGATATACCCCCACTGTACTCGTCTCGCTAGGCCCTAGCTCACCGCGAGCTTAGGGGAAACGAACGGTGAACAGGGAACGGCCGAAACCGCTGTATTCTTCGAAACGTTTCGCTAGTCCCCTGAACGGCCGAAAGTCTGACTTCCGGAACAGGGGCCCCATGTGTGGGGCGACTAGCAGACCTTGTGGAGAATAACCGCACTTTCTCTCCGGGGATATACGACGCACTGTCTCCCCTAAAGGTCTTTACGGATTCGTCCGTCTATGGAGTCATAAATTAAATGCACTGCTTTTTTTTTTTTTTTTTTTTACAAAGAAATATTATTATTAAATAACTGTACAACAGAAAATAATAATAATAACTCAGGAAAGCCGACTTGGCTAAAAGGGGATTGCACTTGATCCCAAAGGGAGACCCCACGATGCCTACCCGGCACTGGGCTAGTCCCGCGGTGCTGACCTGGCCCGCCGCACGTGGTGTCAGACAAAGGCTGAAAACCTGCTACGCTACGTGCAAGAAAAACGAAATCAAAATGACTCCAAAATCACTCCAAATGAGAACTACTTAACTCAAACCAAACTCTACAGATTCTACACAACTCACTTGGTTGATAAATTCTATAAAACAGAAACTCTTAAAGCGAAAATCGTACAAAAACTCGTCAAAAGGCGAGAGCAAAAATATTTGCTTCTGCACGATGCCGTCGCTAAGAAAAAAGAACAAGTATAATGGCGGATTCATGACGTAGCATAATGGGTAGGCCCCGAGAGGGCGCTCGGTGGTTGATTAAATCTTTTAGCGTTTGAGCCTGTCGGCTGAATAAATATGCATATGTAGTAGCTATTGGGTAAGTGAATGAAGTAGATTATAGGTCTTGAATTACCAGTTGTACTTTCTTCAGTGGTGCTCTGTACGGTAGTTGTCTCTTCAACTGTAGTTGACTCTGGAGTAGTTGTGTACACAACAGTGGTTGTCACCTCCTCAGTAGTTGATGGTGCCTCAGTAGTTGATGGTACAGTTGAAGTAACAGTAGTACTCACAACAGTGGTTCTAGCCTCTGTCGTGGAGGCTTCTGTTGTTGGGAAAATGATCAAGTGTTTTTCACTTGTAATCGTCAAAAGTATAAAAGACAAGTTTCTTGCATATATTAAGCTATTAATTTTACCAATTTCTTTTCGGTATGTTTTTTCCCTGGACTATTGTAATGCAGATCATTTCAGGGAGTTCTCCGAATATTTTAGGCATTTTCATTTCTTTATTGAATGTTTTATCTTCAGCATTTGTATATATAAACATGCCATAATATTATATGTATGGGACAGCATGTATAACCCACTTAGCCAACAAATGTCAAGTCATTCAATCCTCAAACTTCCCCAAACAGCCCTAGCACTCAACAGTTTTATTGATTTATGGAGTAAATACAATGTAATACAATTTCATACAAGTGGTAAAGGGTTCCATTCCCTACTTGTACGGATATGCTCACAGCCAAACAGCTATGTGTTGACATGCTCAATAGGTGGAGGAACCTAGATTGTCAGCTGCTTGCCAAAGAGGGCATGTCAGGCTCCAAGACTCAAGCGGAATTCAAACTCACAAACCAGAAAACACGGAAAGAACAAAAACAGTCTGTCCAACCATTTCAACATCAGACCCAAATGCCACATGATGTCATATTCTAACCTGTTGTAGACTGCACTGTGGTGACTTCCTTTGTGGTAGATTCAGGGGTAGTGGTCACAACTGTTGTTACCTCCTTGGTCGTTGAAGGTGGGGCAGTTGTTGAAGGTGGGGCAGTTGTTGAAGGTGGGGCAGTTGTTGAGGGAGCCTCAGTAGTTGTCACACGAGTAGTTGACTTCTCAGTTGTACTTGGAGGACCTATAAGATACAGTCCACAAAGTTTCAATTTGAGCTGGGTGAAAACAAAATAATCTTTTGCTCTTTTTGCTCTTTAGTGGTCTTTATTTTCTAAAAAATCTCCTGAAGTATTCCATATAAGGGTCATAACATAAATTAAAACTTGAACCTTCATGGAAGCACTTGATAAAAGAGAATTATTTGTTTTGAAATACCAGTTGTGCTTTCTTCAGTTGTGCTCAGTACTGTAGTCGTCTCTTCAACTGTAGTTGACGCTGGAGTAGTTGTGTACACAACAGTGGTTGTCACCTCCTCAGTAGTTGATGGTGCCTCAGTAGTTGATGGTACAGTTGAAGTAACGGTAGTACTCACAACAGTGGTTCTAGCCTCTGTTGTGGAGGCCTCTGTTATTGGGAAAATGATTTAAAAAATGTTTGTCAGTTGTAATCTTCAAAAGTATAATAAACTCGAAGATAATAAGCTATGAACTTTACCAATTTCCTTTACTTGATTTTTTTTTAAATAATTTTTTAATGACTTTTTTTTATCATTAATGATTTTGTATTTGATGTTACATGTTGGTTTTTATCTTCAACGCAAACAATTCAAATGAACACAATCTAGTTCACATTGCATATAATCTGGTGGCCTACCACTTCTGCTGCTAATAAACTTGATTAACTTTCTCCTCCAAAGTTTGATACAAGTTGTCATAGATGATGGCCCAATTTGACACTTTGTCGTCTACCTTCTTGTGAATTCTTTCTGTGTTAGTCATAATATATTATTAAATCCCTTGTACAGTCACATCTAATTCTCCAGACAGTCGTGGATATAACTGTTTGATAATCAAAATTTTCTAATGCATTGAAAATTGTTTTCGCAAGTCCTGTTAGAACACTTGTAGACAATTTTTGCCTTTTTCACAAGTACAAGCAAAAACCTAGCTCACCTGTTGTTGAGGGTGCCTCTGTTGTTGAGGGTGCTTTGGTTGTAGTCACTGTGTTGTTTAAGAAAGCACAATAAAGTTTTGGTATATCTTTTATACTACCGTTTTGACTCATGGCCTAATGTAGTTTGACTAAGTTCCTCCAACGATGGACCATTGACGAAGGTCCCGCTAGGATTGCAATGGTTAGGCCGTTCACCTTTTATGATTTGTACGTTTCAGGTCAATCCAGTCAAGTAAGTAGTTTGCAGCAGTTTGACTAATTTTTTTTTCAACAGATATAAAAGCAGACAATATTCAGTCATCATTCACATTGCATTTATTTTCCAATACTGTAGATTAAGCTCCATTTTTTTATCATTCTTTTCATGTTTCATTGATTCATTCAATTCTACAGCCGTTCCATCATTATACCTACGAAGTAAAGAGAAAATAAGTGACTATAATAATACCTCCGTGTTCACAACCGTTGAATATCACTTTGTAACCATCTGGGTTTGAGGTGATGATGCAAACTTTGAGTCCCGTCACCAACGCCATACTGGATGGTAGATAGATCTTTTGATCTGTTTTGCCAATAAAGATAGGAGAGCCAGCTTCATCTACTAGAGGCAGGTATGGTTGCCTGTCACCTGGTTGAAATTTGAAGGAAACAGTTATGTCTCCCGGTGGGCCTTGTTCTGTCTTTATGATGACCGACGTGATTTCAACCCGTGGGCTGAAGGTAGCCCCCAAACATGATCCATTGTGTGGTGATGTAACATCGTTGGGTGGGTTGCTAGGCCGCCACCATTCAGTCGGAGGTAATTCTTTGCCTGATTCTGGGTCTTCGCGTATTATCGTCACATTTGGCAATTTGTCAAGATCATCCGCACATACCTCTGGAGTAGTTGATGGTGGTGAAGTAGTTGACACTGATGTGATTCAAAATAAAAATGAAGGAAATAAAAAACATAAAAGATGCATACCACTGAAAGTAATGAAAAGATGATGAATGAGAGGTTTGTGGAAACACCATGTGGGAATAATTTCTCAACAGTTCCCAAACAGTTCAAGACTCAGGCCTACAAATATTAGAACAATGCAGAAAGTAACTTGAACATTCCCTTTAACCATACGACTATCAGAATCGAATGTCAGTCTATCTCACAACCTCTAACCTGTTGTGGACTCCACTGTGGTGACTTCCTTTGTGGTAGATTCAGGGGTAGTAGTCACAACTGTTGTTACCTCCATGGTTGTTGAAGGTGGGGCAGTTGTTGAGGGTTGGGCTGTTGTTGAAGGTGGGGCAGTTGTTAAAAGAGCCTCAGTAGTTGTCACACGAGTAGTTGACTTCTCCGTTGTACTTGGAGGACCTAAAACATAGTCCACAAAGTTTCAATTTCACTTAGGTGAACAAATAATAATGTTTTGCTCTTTTTGCTCTTAACTGATCTTTATTTAATGAGTACATTACTCCACTGTCCATGCCTGAAAGTTGAAAAATAATGGTACAGGGTGAGTAGAAAAAAGGGGGTCCCACACCCCCAATATTAAATCTCATATTTAAATAAGTCAGGTGTGTTAACAAACACAAATGCCCTGCAACCGTGACTGTTCCCATGACATACAACCACTCTTTTAACATCAACTTACATGTACATATGTACTTGGCTCACATGGAACGTTCATTGACATCATTAGTGTTTTCTGTAGGTTTTATATGAATTAATCCCTATGATGTCAGAGTAAATACAAGATTTCTATTGTTTTAGACACTGTGACCTTGGCCCTCGACATTTTGGCCTGAAATACAATAGGATTCTTAGGATTACCAAGAACAATCCACAAACCAAATTTGAAGTTCATATGTAAAGTATTTCTCAAGTTATTGCGCTGACAAAATTTCTTTTGTTTTAGCCGCTGTGATCTTGACCCTTGACCTTTCGGCCCCCAATGCAATAGACTTCTTAGGATTGCCAAGAACAATCCACAAACCAAATTTGAAGTTCACATGTTAAGTATCTCTAAAGTTATCACACTGACAAAATTTCTATGTTTTAGCCTCTGTGACCTTGATCTTTTGGCCCCAAATGCAATAGGCTTCTTAGGATTACCAAAAAAAACCAATTCACAAACCAAAATTGAAGGTCATATGTTAAGTATTTCTCAAGTTATCGCGCTGACAAGATTTGTCCGGACACCCACACACGCATACCCACACACTCTTGTTCCGTAATTGTGGGGACTTACACTCGTCTAAAGGTATTTTGTGGGGACCGAAAATGCTATGGGGACAGCAGAAAGTCCCCATAACTAGGTCCTAATTTGCCTAACAATCAAAAACTTCCCCATAATGCAGGGTATGCCTACCCACCCCCACACACGTGTGTAAATGCCGGCAATCGTGGACGCCCCATTGTCCCTAATCCTCTTTCCTTTGTTTGTACTCTACCTTTTTAGCGACAGCTGACATTGGTTTTGTACACGATTTGAGATCGTGGACGTTCGGTCAATCGTGAATGTTTTGTTTGCGCCCACATTCTTTTGTCCTACGTGTACGTCCACGATTGCCGGTGTTTACATACTCAAACCCACCCACCCACGCACGGAAGGACAAGGCGGAAACAGTATGCCCCTTCGGTTTCGCCGTGGGGCATAAAAACAAGACACACAATTACAGCTGAACAGTCTGTCCTTGAGACGATGTTGATGGGGATGTGAAAGAAGTGATTGAAAGCTCGGAATCACTTGTACCTGCTTGTGTCATGCGAGTGATCTTGTATATACATTGTATATATATGCTTCATACCTTAAATGAAAACATGACAACAGAATTTTTGATTGTCACAATCAATTAAAAAAAAAATTGAAAACCACTCCATATACCATTGCCAGTTGCCACTAATTACGCACATGATTCATTGCACTAATTGGCTTTGAATTACCCTGCATGGTTATCTCCTTAATGCTTGAGTTGAATCCAACAAATTAATCCTAAAATGTTATCATCACGCTTGGGGTATTGATAGTGGAGCCAAGTGTACAAAATAGTAATACATGTACGTGCCAGTGTTGTAGTCAAGTACCAAAACTCGAGTACCAAGTTTTCCAAGTACACACAGTGCCGAATACAGGCCGAGTCCGAGTACTTTTTAGTCGAGTCCTGGGCCAAAAATCCGAGTTCAAGTTTTTCAGAGTCCGAGTACGAGTACAAAGATATCGAGTACATCCCGAGTATATTTTTAAACTAAAGCATTATGGAAATTAGCACCGTTACTTACATGTGATATATAAAGTAATTACCCAGTATTCCAAGAAATTAACACGCACTCATATTCAAAAGTGTTGTTTTTGCTTGGAATTCTTGATTTATTGACGATCTTCCTCATTCTGAAGGTTAAGACAATAGTCGGTTTTGCAATGCTTGTAAGTGCCTTTTCATTTTGTGTTCCCTATTTTACTTGGTTAAACACAACACCTATTTATTTGCATAGTTTTACAAATAAAATTGCAGACAGAAAAGTACAAACTATAGGCGTACTTCAGTAAAATTCAGTGCTATCTGTTGACCAGACTACCTTTACTTGCATAATCAAAAATGCTAATGTATCATCATGGTCATAGTCATATGAAGTGTTGTTGCACGAAAAGAGGTTTAATTCTATAAGATGTTTTGTTGATTGTTCACATAGGTAGAACATTTATGAAATGGACCATTTCCAGGGCTTGACTGAGAAAATCAGACGGGTCAGGAACCTAACACCCAGTCACGCCACATTTAATCACGTCATAGGAGGGGATCATACCATTAAGACAATGGAAAACAGCTTCTGTCCGTTAGCGAATATTCCTTGTGATCTCTAAACCCCCAAGATATAATTGCTGACGAAGAAACCATGTCTAGGTCTGGATCAAACTCGCCGCCATGTGCCAGAGAATGTGACGCGTTTCCAACAAAGAGTGATGTGCACAACCTCTTCCCCACGGATACGATCTTTCCACACCTTGTTAGTTAGAAAATGCCGCGTGTGATGAACGCACATGCAGCCCATGGAAAGAAGGTTGCGATTTATTTCACTGATATTCTTGTAGTATTCAGTAGGAATAGGACAGTAAAAAATGTGCACCAGCGATACTGCGAGCCCTGCCAATACCCATTCAAGAATACTCGATTTAGAGTCGATAAAGAATACAGCGCAATACTTTCATCATTTTTATATACACTCTGTGAAATTTTTGGTCAAAGTTTAGTATCAAAAACTTAGAATCGAAAAAATCCGATTTTTTTTTTTTAGTACTGCGCGAATGGGATCGAGTTTACCGAGTACAATTTGTCGAGTTAAGGGACGAGTCCGAGTACAAAATTACAAGTACGTGCCGAGTAATTTTTTTTTCTCGAGTACTTATGATTGAGTACGGGCCAAGTACTTATTAGTACTGGAGTTGTACTCGAGTTAGAGTACGAATACTCCAACACTGGTATGTGCACAGTAACGAATTAATTGCGTGTGTGGTCGGTCCGGTATACCACGCACGCACTGCCTGCAGCACTTGTCATTCAATAAGATGACCCCCAAAATGGACAGAGCGCATGTCTACAGACAAGAGGGGGTGCTGGTATTGATATGCTCACGATGCACATGCGATGTGTATGCAGTACGACACCCTTTTGCGGCACAGATGCATATGCAGGGATCATGGGCCGTGCCAAACCACTGTTCAATCAACACTTATTGCCAACTGCAGTACAAGAAGTCGATACCAATGTGAGAATGTTTTGTAATGCCAACTTACACAAAGGATTTTGTGATGCTTTTTATGGAAAGGGGACCGAGAGAAACAGGACGACATGAGTGAAATGGCGACTTATAAGAGCCAACTTAGAAATAAAAAATTCAATGGAAATTTACGGACAATTGGAACTTTAGTCAGACAGCGGACTCGAGCAATTTGACAAGTTATACGATGTCGGTTTAGCCGGAGTTTACTGTATTCAACAAAGTCCTAACTCATAGTGTTTGCCTAACCTGGGTTGTTAATAAAGATATTGTGTACTACTGTTGTTGACAGTTGTTGAAACATGTAATGTATTCTGTGTCATTTTCTTTGTTGTTCAAAACAGGTTTTTTGGTCATTGTGTTGAAATGGTGATATTCTTTAGACGTATTGAGCAGTTACAGTAATTTTTTTTATCTAAAAGTAGCTAATAAAGTTGTCTTTCCAGTGATTATTATGTTTGGTGCTACATATTTTTTTTAAATATAACATTTATTTTTTTTTAATTTGGGTTCTGCTTTTTTTGGACTCCCCCTGTATATTCCTCATCAATTAAGTCCCCCCCCCCACACAGAAGTGTGGTTGGGGCTACGGGCTAATACTTACCTGTAAAACCATCTACTTATGGATATTCCCTATGGCAGCAGGTATTTCCCGCTAAGAATTTTATACAATAGGGCCCTCTGGCACTCTACCCATAATACCCAGTGGAATGCGTGCCTCGTGAGCGTCCTCTTTTCTCGAGCATTAAGTCGGAATACTCATTGCATCATTGGGGTAGGAGGGAGGGATGCTCTACAGGTAAGTATTCGCTCGTAGACCCCAACCACTTCTGTGGGGGGGGGAGTCTACTTTGCTCAACTTACCTGTAGAGCAATCTACTTATGCATAGACTAGCACCGTCAAGGCGGTGGGTCATGCCAGATGCACAAGCATTATGACATAGTACATGTACATATAGACACTATTTTACGTATCGACTTCAATAAAGAATCAGAGTTAGGAGACACCAATTCTGGGGAAGTCTCCAGTCTGAAAATGTCCTGAAAACGTGGTGGGGCTCAGTCAGTCGCCCTCAACACTGCTCTCCCATGCTCTGCCTTATTTTGTGCATGCGGAACAATCACATGGCCTCTGCCCTTGATACATCCGTGGTTTCATGGATTACCATAACCAACCCTCAGGCAATCATGTTGTGAAAAGCCTGCAGGTATGGTGGGGTCGTTGTGATAAATACATGTCATGAAAGGTCTGCCTGTATGGCAGGGTTGTCATGTCAAAAACATGTCGCGAGAAGCCTGCTGGTATGGCAGGGTTGCCATAACAAATACATATATGAGAAGCCAGTTGGTATGGCAGGGTTGTCGTGGCAAAAACATATAACTGCAAGTGACCGATTAAAAGCGTCCCAGTGCAGCTAATGTACGAAGTTAAAGTCATGATTGGCACCAAAGAATGATTTGATGCCCAGAACAAAGACATCCGAAGGCAAATAGGACTCCGACAGTCTTAGTTATAAATCTTTCCTCAGGGATCAGACGTCATGATCGGCACCAAAATTCTCCGTCTGGCACAGACAATGATTTGATGCCTGGAACAAAGATGTTTGAAGGTTAAGAGGACTCCGACAGTCTTAGTTCAAAATCCTTGAGTAGGAATCGGACGGGCACACTTGGTTCCCACTAGATGTAGGCCGTCTCTATTATACAGATAACAGTTCTTTACTACATGTGCATCTAGAAGTAACAACTGCTAACAAAAAAGGCAATCTTAGGGACAATTGAAACAGATGTAAAATTGTTCACTGGTTCAAAGATCTGTAACATTTTTTGATAAGAAAGGTATTGAAGAGATCTCGCACTTCAGGGGTGTTGAGCATCCTCTTAATTAGCTGACATGGAAGTTTGACTGTCTAACATAAAGTACTCTACTGTTGCGTTAGATGTCCCTGACATGCAGACTGTAAAAGCCGTAGCTTGTTTGAGGAAGGACTGATGTGTAGAGGGATTGCATCTAGCATCCAGCACATCAGGAGAAATTCCTGGGGAGCCGGGTAAAGGAAACCCAAGCTGCACTGGAACAGAATATTGTTCTCCTCAGAAGTACATTTGTACAACTGACTGATGAACCAAGGAAATGGTTATAGCCCTGGGAAACTAATCAATGGGACCAACAAGGAGGTAAGAGCAGGAAATTGTCATCCTTCTGCTCCAGTTGATTCAGTACCCGAGGGATAAGAGAGAACGGTGGGAAGGTGTATACAAGTAGCCTGTCCGTCTCTTTCATCAGTGTATTCGTCTGCCACACACAGGGTTCAGGAACCCTTTCGCAGTAGACCGGAAATCTGTGACTTATTTGTGAAACAAGTCAGATTGACATGTGGTTAGTGCTCAACAGCTTCCACTGTCGGGAGGATCCACCACCCCTAAGGAGGGCCTTAGAAGCAACGTCGTACTTGCTTGGGAGGTGGACCTTCGAAAGCAAGAAACTGTGTCACAAACACCAATGGGGGGTTTCTCAAGTGAGAGTACACAGTTGAGCAGACTGCCTGCCCACCTATTCGTCGATGTAAGCCACAACCTTGTCAAAGTCACATTGAACCAGGATCATCTGGCACATCACTGATTACAGAAAATAATATCGCAGTTTATCCATGACTGCCAGCATCTCAAGTCTGTTAATGGAACTTGAATGATGCTCACACAGGGCGGCAGGGCCTCAGCAATCCCCCACTGGATGCGGGTGGTGGGTAGTCAACTGACAGGGTAACGTGTCTGCCATGACAGTTTTGATCTGTGAGAGGCACACCCTTGTGTGGTTGGCAACGTCGAACCACCACTGGAGGCACTGCACAAGTCAGGTCATGGCATGCACTGCATGCACTGATGACTGGGCCGGTACAAGGAAAATAGGTGAATGCCACCAATCTCTGCGCAGCCAAAGTGCCTTTTTACTATCTGAACAGAGGCCAGGAGTGAGGCAGAAAAAGGCTGGATGGGGCCACCATGAAGTTGCAGAGAGAATCTTTGTTTGAAAACCACAAAATTCTCAGTGCTCTTGCCTGATAGGAAGTTGCAGAAGATAGAAGGTGGGACTTGAATCTTTGGCGGGCGCCCTTTGACTGGAGAAACAGTTCATCATGCAAGTTACCCCGGCGGGCCGAGGCCGTTAGGGTCTGCACTCATGTAAACTAATAGATTACTGAGTGCAGATTAAGATTTAAGTTAAGATTAAAAGATTAAACCTAATGTACTCCGTGCGGATAAAGAGGGAGGCTAAACGGTAATGATCAGATTATTGCTTGAAGAGCAGCAGACATTTTGGATGCAGGCACAATCTTGCGAATGTGGTCCACACTTGCCTGAACTACGAAAATATCACAACACACAGTCGCTGAATTTATGATCAGGCTGGGGTTCATTGTGAAGAGCAGCTGCCATCTGATGAACCATCATAATGCAAGGGTCGAATTAACCCCATAAACAACAACCGTCTAGCACACCTGGAGGGAGGAGTTGCACACGGCCACCGTCAGTGGTTGAACGACTCCCTCGGAGACAACAGACAGTGTAATTATGTACATACATGTACTGTATACGGTACAATGTACATGTGCATGAAAAATGTAGCGATTTCAGAGCAGCAAGAAACAACGACGCACAGCTAAAGCACTGCGCGGCATGTCTCTTTGTCCTCCAGTGACCCAACCATGACTAATGTAGAGGCTACAGAGCACAGCTTCCAACTGAACTCAAACGGGCTGTTTCATCAACGTGCCCACCAGGCAATACTTGTACAAATGTATATGACCGACAATGAAGTCGACAATGAAGCCAAGAACAATTGCAAGTCTTGCAATGAGTGGGCCAAAAACTGAGTCCTCATCCCGGAAGCATTTGCTGTGGTGGGATTGGTGCAATAATTCGCCCGAATTAGAAGAATAAGAAGAATGACATAATGTTGTCGATGTGTTCCACACACACTTGATCCAACAGAAGTTTGGGGAACACTTTGTCATCGTTAGATCTGGAGCCCGTCCTGCGCTTGACAGATTTATGATTGGGCGGAGGGGGCTCATCGGTAGAGGGTAAGTTAAGTACCCGTATAATGTCCCTCTGCAGCAAACGGAGTTCCGTCTCTGCGATGGACAGCAGTTGTAATTGGTCTGGTTCTTCGTCATCATTGGATGAATCAGCCGATTGTGAAGGCCGAGTTGACTCTGGTAAATGAGAGCCGTCTGCAGGGGCTAGATGTACAGAACCATGCGGTGGTGGCTGGGCAACACCCTCGGAGATTATAGGCATACAAGTCATAGATGGGTGAAGACTGAACACAGGCGGGGATTCTGGCACACAGCTAACTGTGTGTGGTAGGTCCCTTTGTCTCTGGTCCACCCAACCCAATGTGAAGTGTTCGCTGTAGACCGGGCCTCCTGTGCATGCCACCATGTGTGGTATACATGAACATATACATGTATGTACATGTACATTTTTTATAAATGTACAATGTACATGTATCTCCTTGTATTTGGGCCACGTAACTGTGACCAAATACTGACAACTGTTAAGCATTCACGGAGCACGGCTAACTGTGTGCGATATGTCCCTTTGTTCACGGCCACCCACGGGCTTCAGGGAGGCACCAATAGGGCCCGTCTGGCGGCCTGCAGTCATAGACGATAGCATAGCTGAAAACAAATGAAAAGCCTAGCCTGCAGAAAATCAGACCTCGAGATCGAGTCCTCACCTTGGGTGCGTTTGCCCCAGTGGGACCGGTCAGAGGAGCTGTCAGAGTCTGAAGAAGAATGGCATGATCTGCGATCAGCCTTCTTTTTCTTTTTGTTCTTCTCCTTTGAAGAACAGCCCCAGGGTGTGTGGAGAAAAATTCGGAAGACACCTGGGGAACCGAGACCCACGAACAATGGAAAAAAATCCAATGACGAGAATGGTCCCTCAGAGCAAGATACAATGGGGGCCGTAAGGCCGGGGTACCCCTGGGCGACCGGCTTCACGTCGCTCATAGCATACCCGGCCGACAGCACCTCAGGCCCCGTGGGCTGAGTGAGCGCTGGTTGGTCCAAAAGCCGGTACAATAGCCCGGCAACCAGTGGTACTCCGCACTGTGTCAGGAGGGCATGGGTAACTAGAGCCTACTGAAGCGTGGCGGTTGGTCCCCTCAGGCTGCCCCGTGTTCGGGGAAGAGTCGGGTGGTATAGCGGCACTTGTACCCGAGCCACGCCTGCCCTGTCGGCCCTTTTTAGGCTTCACTCCAGCACAGGAGGGTATGTTTTGGAGGAACCTTAACGGAGCGTGCCTTTCGTCTGGCTGTTCCGCTTAAATTGACCAGAGAAGGAGACCGAGGTCCCTTCAACTGGTCAGCAGAACTGCCAATGCCCCCAGCCGGCAAAGGCTGAGGGTGCTGGACGAGGGACTGCTACCGCGGTAATGACACGGTGCTAACAGCAGAGTCCCCCGAAAACTTGGTCTGTCACGTACATGAGTAATTCTCCCCGGTTTCTGACTGATCCATTCTCCCCAAGCGCTTCATAATAATCGAATAAATATAACAAATATATCAAGAAGATGAGAAACTCTACAAACTAACTGTTTTACTAAAAAAAACTTCTCTTAAAAAAAAAAGGGCATAAAATGACGATGAAAACAGGAGCTTTTTTACACACATTATACCCTACCTGCCGCTAAGAGAAAAGAGGACGCTCACAAGGCATGCATGCCACATGGTATTATGGGTTGGGCGCCAGAGGGCGCATTGTATAAAACTCTTAGCGGGAAATACCTGCTGGTATAGGGAATATGCATAAGTAGATTGCTTTACAGGTAAGTTGAGCGAAGTAGACCTTGAACCTTCAAATTCATGGAAGCACTTAATAAAAGAGAATTCCATGTCATTGGTCATGAGTTACCTGTTGTACTTTCTTCAGTGGTGCTCAGTACTGTAGTTGTCTCTTCAACTGTAGTTGACTCTGGAGTAGTTGTGTACACAACAGTGGTTGTCACCTCCTCAGTAGTTGATGGTGCCTCAGTAGTTGATGGTACAGTAGAAGTAACGGTAGTACTAACAACAGTGGTTCTAGCCTCTGTCGTGGAGGCTTCTGTTATTGGGAAAATGATAAAATGTTTGTCAGTTGTAATCGTCAAAAGTGTAGTAACCTGAAATATTACAACTATTCATATTAACAATTTCTTTTTTTGGTTCTCTTTTTTTTTTAGAAAATTGTGGTACAGATCATTCCAGAGAGTTCCGAGAATATTTTAGGCATTTCCATTTCCTTATTGCAATTTTTTGGTCTGAAAATGGATTAATATAATTTCAGCATTGTATATAAATGTGCCGTAATATTAAATATATTCACAGTCGGGACAGTGTATTCAACCACTTAGCGCTCAAAGTGCCAAGAAATGTCAAGTCAAACGTCCCCAAAGAGCCCTAGCACTCTATAGTTTTACAATGTAGCATAATTTTTATACAAGTGCTATTGGGTTAAATTCCCTTCTCGTTAGGAAAATGCTCACAGCCAAATAGCTATGTGTTGACATGCTCACTGGGTGGAGGAACCAAGATTGTCAGCTGCTTACCAAAGAAGGCATGTCAGGCTCCAAGACTCAAGCAAAATTCAAACTCACAAACCAGACACTAACATAGAAGGAACAAAAACAGTCTGTCTAACCATTCAAACATTAGACCCAAATGTCGCATGATGTTATATCTAACCTGTTGTAGACTGCACTGTGGTGACTTCCTTTGTGGTAGATTCAGGGGTAGTGGTCACAACTGTTGTTACCTCCTTGGTTGTTGAAGGTGGGGCAGTTGTTGAAGGTGGAGCAGTTGTTGAAGGTTGGGCAGTTGTTGAAGGTGGGGCAGTTGTTGAAGGTGGGGCAGTTGTTGAAGGTGGGGCAGTTGTTGAAGGTGGGGCAGTTGTTGAGGGGGCCTCTGTAGTTGTTACATGAGTAGTTGTCCTCTCTGTGGTACTTGGAGGGACTAGAAAAGCAACACTTGATGTTTAAATTGTATTAAGTATATCAAGTATGGTCTGTTTCTTTTAAAGATCACAATTTCATTTATGGTTAGCAATTCCTTCAGCCATTTGATAGCCACATAAATTCTACAGTCTGTCTGTACCTGTTGTACTTTCTTCAGTGGTGCTCAGTACTGTAGTCGTCTCTTCAACAGTAGTTGACTCTGGAGAAGTTGTGTACACAACAGTGGTTGTCACCTCCTCAGTAGTTGATGGTGCCTCAGTAGTTGATGGTACAGTTGAAGTAACGGTAGTACTCAAAACGGTTGTCCTAGCCTCAGTTGTTGAAACTTCTGTTTGTTGTAAAGTTATACTATTTTAATGCTGATTCATTTAGAATAGGTTGTATCAAATTGAGAACAATTAACCATTTCACCTTGCATGTGAACTGTAGACCTACCTCATGCAGGGATATACTATATATACATGAACTCTGTACATGCATGTATATGTATATGTCCACATATTTAAAGCTATAGTCCATCATTTGCATCCATCCGAAAAGTAACTGGCGTAATTACTTTTGAAAAACAAACTTTGTTGAAAGATAGTAGGGAACTAAACTCCCTGTGAAATCATTCTTTCTGGCAAGCTGTCATTTTGAAGTGATTAACGAAAAAAGGCCTTTCCAACAGTGCGTCTTAAGATGCACCGTAGGAAAATCTAAATTAGTAGTGCGTTTTGTTATTCGGCGATGCACACGCGCACGGTTGCTATAATTCTTCGGATCAGTGCCCGACTTCGCTTATAGCTGCAATTCAAAACAATTCAACACATGATTCAGTAACTTTTGATTTGAAATTGAGATCCTAGAATGCTGTTTTTTCTAGGAATATACAGCTGAAGCTTAGCTGAAACTTCATCAGGTTAGTTGTTCAGTATCCTTCATTAGATTTTGAACACATTTGTTGCTTCAAACGAACAAAATGCACAAATTACAAATGATGGACTATATCTTTAAGCATTTGTAGATTGAACATGAATAAAACTTAAATGTAATCAGTCATTTGTAGAAAACAAATAGACTTCTGGCAATTGCTGGAGGACTTTCATCCCTACTTGTGGTTAATAAACAGATAAATCCACTCTCAGAAACATATGTAGCACGATATGGGACAGAGGGACCTCCCCCCTTTGTGTTGGTCATTGTGTTACAGAAACTCAGCAATTCATTTCAGATATCTAAGGGGATGTGTAAGGGAACAATAGTCTAGGGTTTGCATAGGGTATAAGGAAATGGGGAGTACCCTTAGTCTCATATCATGCTGGGTATACTCAGAAAGTTTGAGGCTAATTATTTAATGTGACATATGAATTTTGTTTGCCTTTGCTCACTTTTATAGTTGGTTTGATTTTTATAACAGATACATACCAGTTTGGCAGTTTGATATCATTTGTATACAAGTATTGAATCCCTGACTGGATACATAACCCCTCATATTCCCTATTCATACATAAAGGTGTGAATTTATGAGTTTTTTTTTTTCAATTCAGGTGATTCACAATGCCGTGCGCCACCAAGAGTTTGCCACGGAGAGTCCATTTTCACATTTAGGGTTCACAAAACACGGCCTATGTGAATGAGTGTCAGTAGAGAGCTTGAGCTAATTTGTAATAGCTTGGGGCATAACATTCTGCCGCCTTACAAAAAAAACCACGATATTGATAAAAAGAAATGAAAAGGGCAAACAAATACTCGAATCATGCACTTGAAACTACTGACCGGAATTTTTTTTGTTCAAATGTCCCGTGCTGTGAATTTGTTGACCATCTCCCAAAATGCACTGGGAAAAAATGAACTCTCTGTGGCAAACTCTTGGTGGCACTCTGCATTGCCAGGTTGCCAGCATACAAACCAAAAATCCTGTTTTGTAGTTGCTTGCAAAAGAACGAATGGGAAGCATGGGGTGCCGGATTCACATTATAACAATGACACAGAGAGAATCTGAAACAGTCTCTGTAACCAGTTGACCCTTAGGCTGCCAATTCAAAAGTATAAAAACTCTAACCTGTTGTAGACTCAACTGTGGTGACTTCCTTTGTGGTAGATTCAGGGGTAGTAGTCACAACTGTTGTTACCTCCTTGGTCGTTGAAGGTGGGGCAGTAGTTGAAGGTGGGGCAGTTGTTGAAGGTGGGGCAGTTGTTGAAGGTGGAGCAGTCGTTGAAGTTGGGGCAGTCGTTGAAGGTGGGGCAGTTGTTGAAGGTGGGGCAGTCGTTGAAGGTGGGGCAGTCGTTGAAGGTGGGGCAGTCGTTGAAGGTGGAGCAGTTGTTGAAGGTGGGGCAGTTGTTGAAGGTGGGGCAGTTGTTGAAGGTGGGGCAGTTGTTGAGGGAGCCCTTGTAGTTGTCACATGAGTGGTTGACCTTTTTGTTGTACTTGGAGGAGCTGGAAATCACAACAGCCTATTTTTAGATTTGATTAATGATTATCAAATATGGTCTATTCCTATCACAAATTCTTTCGTGGAACGGTTTGATTGCAGTTAATGTTATACACGATATCATTACCTGTTGTACTTTCTTCAGTGGTGCTCTGTACTGTAGTCGTCTCTTCAACAGTAGTTGACTCTGGAGTAGTTGTGTACACAACAGTGGTTGTCACCTCCTCAGTAGTCGATGGTGCCTCAGTAGTTGACGGTACAGTTGAAGTAACGGTAGTACTCACAACAGTGGTTCTAGCTTCTGTTGTTGAGGCTTCTGTTTGTGGTCAAGTTATACAATGGTTAACTTTGTTTCTCATTTTGACCAAGTAGAACTATATTTAACAAAATAAGCTTATGCATCCAATAATGCATGTGTATCATAAATAACCAGTTTTCATCTTATTACACATTACATATATTTCAAATGTTTCCAAATCCAGATGCATCCCCAATGAGATTTATGTATTTACCCAACCACAATGGTTAGTCCTCAGTGTGTACCTTGCCATGTGATGACTTTGAACTTTTCTGGTCCTTTTTGTTTTATTTCTTGACAAGTTGCTACTCATGTAACGAGACAGCGGCATGCGTAACTAACAAAACTGATAATTGTTACTTTATTGAAATATTAAGACATTTTGCCTTATTAAAGGTTTTCCCGGCCGAATTCGGGAAAACAGCAGTCAAATTTATTAACGTGCATTCGTTTCCGAGCGATTTTTCTCAGCTGGTTGTTCTCATGATTCATTTTCACACTTTGAGTCTTCAATTTTGTTTGCAGACTTTGAATTGTGTACTTTCAGGCATTCAATTTAGAACTAGCTTCATTCAATTAGATGATGCATACCCGTCATTCAATTTCGCGCTAGGCGACTAGAAGGAGAATTCCCTCCTGAATTGTACTTTCGTTTTCGACTATGGGCAATCATTTTCGCACTTCGAGCCTTCAAATTGGAGAAGGAAAGTACAGTATTTATGAGGACAACTGAAATAGATGATGCTTATATTCACTAAATGGAGTTTACTGAATAATTTGTTATTTTACATAAAACAAATACCCACCCACACACACACACGCACCCATCTCATAGTTATACTCATGAGGACCTGATCCTTTTGTTTGTACTTCAACTTTTTTTCTTGACTGCTCCCATAAGGTTTGTACACGAATTCTCCCGAGGACCTGGGCCCAGGTCCTCGGGCCCATTAAAATTGCACACACCCACTGTCCCAATTCCTCAGTCTGAATGGATAACCAACCCACGCAAGTGTGTATTTGCCTGCAATCGGGGACTCCTATTGTCCCTCTTTTGTTTGTACATTAACTTTTTAGGAATACCTCCCACATGTTTTGTACACATCGCCAAATTGGAGACCTTCGGGAATTGGGGACCCTATTGTCCTCTGTTGTTCAATGTCCCCTATTGAATGCAGAAACAAACTCAACAACACACACCCACGTTTGTTTATGATGTAAATCGAGGATTTTCTATTGTTCCTCTCCCTTTTCATTTGTTTATACTCTAACTTCTTTGCCACAGCTCTCATTGGTTTCGGACATGTTTTTCTAATTTGGTTCCTGTCCTCCATTCATTGATGATGTTGTATGTGTGTGTCCTCGATTAATACACCATAAACAAACACACGTTTGTTTAAAGTGTAAATCGAGGATTTTCTTTTGTTCCTCTTCCCCTTTCTTTATTTGTACCCTAACTTTTTAGCAACAACTCTCATTGGTTTTGTACACAAATTTAAATCGTTGACTATCGGTCAATCATGGACCCTTTATTTGTGCCCTAACCCTGTTGTCCTTAGTGCCGGTATTTACATGCTCACATGTGCATTATTTATGTGTTGTGCCAATTAAAATTATTCGGAATTTGTTCGCAATGGCCTAATTTCTTTATTTATCACAATTTGCAAGTACTTCTTTGTCTCTCCATTTTTCATTTATCTTTTGTTTCTCCTTTTTGCATGCCCCCTCCTTTTTCATTTATTAATCCTTTCTGTTATAAATATATACTTTCGGGTGTTTTATTTCATTTTACTTATAATATGCATGTAGGTGTTGTTTGTTCTTTTTATAATTATTTAAAACGAAACAAATTACATATCAGAAAATTAACATTAAATGAAAAACATTGCACAAATGTCACAAATGCTTGCCTATTCACAAAATTGAATGCCCAAAATGCTTACGCGGAGAGTCCGCGTGAATTTGAATGCTATTTGCATGTTTTTTTCAAATTGAATGCTGACTCTTCAATTATGTTTTACAAATGTGTGCAATCGTGTGCTCATGAAGTTAATTTTAATGATCATTTTTGCTCTTTGAATGGTGATCTAGTTCGTCAATCAATTTCGTCCTAAATTGAATGAACCTATGGTTAATTCAGATGCTAAGTTTACGAAATTGGGCGGGAAAACCTATATTTCAGAAATATTGAATACTAAATCATGCAATATCTTTAGAAATATGTACAACATAGAGTTGAGGCTTCCGTTTGAAGTAATGTCACACGATAAGTTTGTTTAAGCTTTAATAGTCCATGGGCCAGACCAGTTGTTGCTACTGTTGTGATACTACTTAATGCATGCATGCAGTAGTCTCTTGACCATGGCTGATTAAAAATGCTCACCAACACACGGAGGACTCTATATTTGTGCCATCGATTATCCTTATTCTATCTCCATATCTCTACAGCTACCACTTGAGGTAGCAAAACTTAAATGGTGTTAATTTCTTTGTTTTATCACTATAAAGTGAAAAAAATATGATAGCCTTTCATAATGAATGGCATACTGTATGTTTGATGAAGTTGCTCCTTTTAATGTAAACCCTATGGGTATCAGAGGGCAGGCCACAACCCCCTAAAATTCAGTGATCTCTCCAAACTTTTACCAGGGGTCAATACCCGCCCCATGATACCCATAGGATTATAACGTTATTAGGGGTCTGGACATTCAAGCGGTGATAACCAATAATAAGCTACCACATTGAAACTAGAGATGTACAGCAATCCAAAAATAGCAACCAGATTTTGCCACCTCAGGTGGAACAAATTGGTGAATTTTGGGGTCCTGGCCCATGGGCTATAGTAAGTTGAACAAATTCAAATCTAATTCCCCATTCATATGGTACCTAAATTCTTGGCCTAGCATTTACTTTTACTAACTACTCTACCAGTGCAAAAGTTTGATCAATTATCACTTTCGTTTTCCACATATTTGTGCCTCTCTCCTGCCTTACTAATTTTCCTTTAGATCTTCTGATAAATGGGTATAGTATCAGCTTCAATTGTTCACTGGCACACTCAAGAATGGGGTTTCCAGCAGCGGCGTAGCCAGGGTTTTGTTTTGGGTGGGTGGGGCCTGTGGGAGGGGGCCATGGGCGTCGCGAGGGGGGGGCAAGGGGGAAAGGGGGAAAAGCAAAAAACAAAAAACAAAACAAAAAAAAAAAAAAGGAAAAAAAAGAAAAGAGAAAAAAGAAAAGAAAAAGAGGCGCGAAGACATAGTGGTGAAAATTTAATGGGTGGGTGGGGGGGGGGGGGGCAAAATGTCCCTGCCCCCCTCTAAAACTGATAAATCGAGAATGTGTTGAAAAATACAGGCATTTTTTGGCAACATTTTGTTTTGCCCCCCTCTATAAAAAATCCTGGCGACGCCCATGGGGGGGGCCCCCACAAATTAAATCTTTGCTGCAAGGTAGACATTTAGGGGGGCGTGCGCTGGTTTCCATATAGGACATGCAAATGCTTTGTCTCATTAATGCATAGCTGCCAACTTTTCAAAATCCCAATTAGTAATCAACCCACGTGGTCATTTTAAACTGCTCGTTTTATCAAAAGCATTACCAACATCGAGTACAGGTACATGGTTTACATGTACACATACATGTGCATACCCTTCTTGTTGTGAATAATAATGTACTGTAGGCCAAAAGATAATTAAAAAAAAATTTAAAAAAAATTAAAAAAATTAATATTTTTTTTTTTAGTATTAATTTTGTTTTAATGTCTGTATTTGTTTGTTGAAGTCAAATAAATAATAACAATAATAACATGTGCGCATATATTTTTTTGAGATGCATGATATCGATGTGGAGTTTCAAGTTCGTATCAATGTTTTTACACACAATGATTTAGGGCCACCGTATGCAATAGAAATATCCCGCCAACATACCTTGCAAACGCATGCTGATTTATCTTTTCTGGATGTTGTGACAAACTCAAACTCTATTACCAATTATTCCAACCATACTTTTATTAAATTCCATGATTAAAATCTCGCACTGATGGGTCTCATCCCGGCAATAAGCGACCAAATGTGCTCACGATCGTCACTGAAAAGTACTCACATACAGTACACACAACCACACATCCACGAGATGCACACAAATGACACACCATTGAAAAATAGTTTTAGTCTGGACCTCAAATACTCCACTGCGCACACTGCATTGATGTCTATCAGGTGCTTGACTGCATTCTTATTAGACTTGTCACCAGTCCATCCATTACCGCGACATTTCGCCAGAAGTTTTCTGTCAAAAACGATTCTTTACAAGTATTTTTTTTTAGTTAGGTAGAAAATGGGAAATTCGTAATGTTTTAGTGGCAAATCGTATTTTCGTAATTTAACAAACAATTCGTAATAATTACGAAAATTTCGTAACAGTTGGCAGCTATGTTAATGGCCTTAAGCACAAAGTATTGAATGTTATAATCCAATAGGAACACATCAAAAAAAAAAAAAAATTGGAGAGAACTCAAATAGGTTCCTGCTTTTCAAATACAGGAATGTTAAACACCCTGACCTGTGCTTGGATTAAATCCAAATGGTCAACAACAATGCTGAAAGTATCAGAAACAATCCACTGAAACCACTGGATACTAGGACACAACCATCAAACAATTCTCAATAGTCAAACCTGTTGTGATCTGCACAGTGGTGACCTCCCGTGTCGTTGATTCAGGTGTAGTAGTCGAAACTGTTGTTACCTCCTTGGTCGTTGAAGGTGGGGGAGTGGTTGAAAGTGGGGCAGTTGTTGAAGGAGACTCTGTAGTTGTCACGCGAGTAGTTGACTTCTCAGTTGTACTTGGAGGAGCTAGGGGACAGTCATGAATATTTCAATTTTATGAGTGAAAGATACTATGTTTTCTTTTGACTTCCCCAAAATTTCAACATTTGTGAACAATTTTTTCCTGATTGTACAGAGCTAGCAGTAGCTTACACTCGTATTACATGTAAATAGCCATCAAGCACATTAAGAAAGTCTGTTCTTGTCAGAATTGTAATTCAATTTGATTCTTAGACTAGTTATGTTTTATAACCATTTTAAAAACTACTGTCTGCAGTTGCAGTTACCTGTTGTGCTTTCTTCAGTGGTGCTCTGTACTGTAGTTGTCTCTTCAACAGTAGTTGACTCTGGAGTAGTTGTGTAAACAACAGTGGTTGTCACCTCCTCAGTAGTTGATGGTGCCTCAGTAGTTGATGGTACAGTTGAAGTAACAGTAGTACTCACAACAGTGGTTCTAGCCTCTGTCGTTGAGGCTTCTGTTTGTGGTAAAATTATACAATGTCCAATTATAAAGTTATAAAGCAGCTGTTTCAACTTATATTAATGACACTAAAATATCAAACTCTCCAAAAATTCTTACCTGTTGTCGACTGCACTGTGGTGACTTCCTTTGTTGTAGATTCAGGGGTAGTAGTCACAACTGTTGTTACCTCCTTGGTTGTTGAAGGTGGGGCAGTTGTTGAAGGTGGGGCAGTTGTTGAAGGTGGGGCAGTTGTTGAAGGTGGGGCGGTTGTTGAAGGTGGGGCAGTTGTTGAAGGTGGGGCAGTTGTTGAGGGGGTCTCTGTAGTTGTCACACGGGTAGTTGACCTCTCTGTAGTACTTGGAGGAGCTAGAAAGCACAAAAGTAAATGTTGAAATAGTATTTACTATTATCAAATATAGTGTGATGAAACAAAAGGTGCTTTAACACAGGGCGAGGCAGCTTGCACTTGCGTACTGAGTACTTAGTGTTCTTATTACTGCTGGCACCATGTCTTCCCCTAAATCAGCCCAAGATAAAGAACGCTTGGACCCTTGACGGATGACTTTCTTGCCTTCTTCACAATGGTAAGAAAATTGCCATCTGCTGTTCATCGGACATCGCCAAACTCTGACCATTCTTCATCTTCACCCACCCCTGTAACTGTATTCATCAGCCTTGCCATGTAATACAGTCCATAACTTTGTGCTACTAATGCTGATGACTCATCCACATAATGCTCACACACTTGAAGTGAATTGGTCGGAGCGGCACTGGTTGGTTGTGTGAGACATCATTTTGACTTTAGCTAGTCCAGGTGTGTCTCATATGGCTGATTAGCGTTGTTTTGGTTGGTTTAATTTAGGTGTACTTTGCACACTTTTCACAAAATTTAACTTTGACAAAAGAGTTGATTTGAGTATGCAATTTGTACTATTTTAATACCACATTCGCATATATTCCATGAAAATTGACATGGTTTTGACATATTTCTACCAAAAGGGTTGTATTTTACTTTAAAAATGTCAATTTCTTGTGGTTTCTGCCCTGACCACATGGTAGGTTGGTTCGGGCTAAAAATTGGTGTGCATTCATTGCTCATCAGGACCTACAAGCACAGCAATTTTTCTCAAAATCAGAAGACATGATGTAAAAAGTGTGTTGGTCTGACATGGAATGACCCAATTACAATTATTCCCTAGTTATGTGAGACCATTTGAGGGCTATTTTAAACTCTACAGTCTGTCTGTACCTGTTGTACTTTCTTCAGTGGTGCTCTGTACTGTAGTCGTCTCTTCAACAGTAGTTGACTCTGGAGTAGTTGTGTACACAACAGTGGTTGTCACCTCCTCAGTAGTCGATGGTGCCTCAGTAGTTGATGGTACAGTAGAAGTGACAGTAGTACTCACAACAGTGGTTCTAGCTTCTGTCGTGGAGGCTTCTGTTTGTGGTAAAATCATACAATGTCCAATTATAAAGTTGTTAGGCAGCTGTTTTAACTTAATAACACAAAAATATCAATCTCTCCAAAACTTCTTACCTGTTGTTGATTCCACTGTGGTGACTTCCTTTGTGGTAGATTCAGGGGTAGTGGTCACAACTGTTGTTACCTCCTTGGTTGTTGAAGGTGGGGCAGTTGTTGAAGGTGGGGCAGTTGTTGAGGGGGTCTCTGTAGTTGTCACACGGGTAGTTGACCTCTCTGTAGTACTTGGAGGAGCTAGAAAGCCCAAAAGTAAATGTTGAAATAGTATTTACTATTATCAATTATAGTGTGATGCAACAAAAGGTGCTTTAACACAGTACGAGGCAGCTTGCACTTTTTATGCATATCTAGTAGTCTGGTTGTGCGCACGGCACATGTGTAGCAACATTTGTGCTCCACCCAGCATGCATGCAATTGGACAGTATATGGACCACTGTTTGAATGCATTCAGCTCATGGAGCGCAAGCGTGCTGGACCAGCGATGAACACTGTGAGGTTATCAAAGGAGCACATGAACCCAGTTCATACACCCTGATATTAAGGGCCTGGTTGTCTTTTCCTAGTGAGGCTGGTGCTTCTTGGTTGTTAGGCTGATGTATGCTATCGATCAGACTCCTAAGGCTGGCTATGTGTTGCAGTAATCAATCTCAGTTTAAGAGCTAGGGTCTGTGACCCTGCAATATCCTATTGTGGGCAGTGAGGAACATTATTATTAATGATTTATTTCTTTCTGACGACAAAATGTGGCAATCAGAGATTGAATTGTAATAAGTCGAGACAAATAATACAATCTTGTGCACAGTACTTAAAAATACATCCAATTAAAAAAGAGGTTAACAAGTACACTAAATAACAATTACCCAAATGTAAGCCCCTAAAATAGTTGTTTGTCCCAGCTTCAGGCCCAACACTGACCCAGCCCCAGAACTATCAGTAACTTACAAATCCCAAACTTCATTAAAATATGTTTTGCATTAAAAAGTTAGAAACAACTGTCAATTAGTATCAGCTAGGATAAAAAAAATACATTGGCATTACATTAAGAAATATTACTCTGGACAATAACAACAATAATGGCAACAATGGCCACGACCACCACCACGACGATAGCAAGGACAACAATGAAGACAATGACAAAAGTACAATAACAAGGACAACAACAGGATTAACAAGAGACAACTGTATAAACAACACAATGTATGGTGAAATCGGCAATATGACAGTATTGTTAAAAGATAGGCTTTATTGATTAAAACACCAACATCATTAACCCAAAAGAAAAGAAGAATGTTTTGAGGTTGGGGTAAGCCCAGGATTTCCCTAATAATTATGGCAAGGTCTAAAAATTGATGAACTACAACACAGGCAATTAAAACAAAATTATTTTGCTCGTTGTAATATTGAGTTCGGCGATATTTGTATCCCACTTAAGGTCCTTCTGTATGTGTATGCCCAGAAGTTTCACTGTTTCTGACTGCAGGAGCTGTTGACCATCTATGTTGAAAACTGGTGGGGCTGGGGGGTCTCTCATGAAGTTGATTTCCATTGATGTACATTTTGCAGGATTGTATTCGCAGGATAAATGTTGGTTAAAGGGCTGGTACTGGTTGTGCAGTGTAACAATTTCATTTGAAGGGGCATGCGAGTTAAGATAACTTGCTGCAGACTTGCGTAAGGACGTGTGCATGTGTGTATTCCTGGTATATAATTTTCTCTGGTACGTAATTATTTCGAGTATGTTGTTACTCCTGCACATAGTATAACCCTCCTGTAAGTCTGCTGTATAGGAACTAGAAGAATTTGAGAAGCATTCAGGTGCATTTAAAATAGGGGATTAAGGAGACTCTAATAGATAGTTAAATATGTTCCTACTAAGCTTGTTTAATTTGGGGTCCTATGGTTGTTCGATTAAAATATACCTCATTGCTCTATCATCATGGAGACTGATATTGGACTCTGTCACATTGACATAAAAATAATAGTTACCTTTCAGAGTTTGTTTTGTTAAGCATGTCGTAGCTTGCGAGGTCGTCACGACCTCTTCATTCTCATTGCTCTAATAGATCAACCACACATGAACCAATGAGGTTAGGTTGTCCCAGCTCATTTAGCTTTTGCAACTGGGATGGGACACTTCCATTCCAACAGGTGCCTCTCTTGCCACTCAAGGACCTTCTGGGAAGTGCTGCCTGCACTTCACCCAATAGAAAGTAGCAGCGGGTACCGCAATGAAACATTCATAAAATGGAATCTGTGTCCGGGTGATGTAAATTCAATATTAGGAGTGTAATGTCACAAAAGTCTGTTAATTTAAAAATTTAGAATTTCCTTTGAACTCAGTAGTTGTTTAAAATCATTTGATGGCTATTCAATTCATATCGCTTATTTGCCGAATCAGCCTTTTTTCCCGTTAAGATTTTTGAGTGGTCAGGCACAACCCGACCACTCTCTGTTATTGTTCTGATGGATTTTAATTTTTTTTCTGGACAATACTTCTCCGCAGGTTTTCTCCTAAACAGTATATGGTATAAACTTGTAACTTTCAACATATATCAGCCCTCATCCTTAGTGGTGCATATTACTCTGACGTCATGATAGTGTCATCAGGTGTCAAATTACAAGCAATTTTCGTTAAAACAATGACGATATTCTTCCACCTATAACTAATGAACAAAATGATCAATTATTTTCCAACCTTGTAATCAGATAGACCATGAATTGATTAACATTTTTTGTCGGTGCGTTAACTCATTTGACCTTTACTTCCGGGTCTACTGGAAGGTCAAAGTTGTGTCAATTCAAAATGAAGACTTTGGCCTGAAACCAAAACAAAGCAACAATTCTTTAAAATGGTTCACGGTGTGATCATAAAACCCAGTGTGAACTTGTACCATGAAACGAAGATGTTATAAATTTTGTTACATGACGTTATCAGGTATCAAATTACAAGCAATCAAAGGGCAAATTTTGACCAAATAGTTTGTGCTATATCTTTTGAACTAAATAGAGAATCGTGTTCGTTTTTTTTGTGTGTGAGGTTGTAGACTATGCTGTGAGAAACATTTCTTGTCCCGGACACAAAAC